CAGGAACCTTTGTGTGTTTAGTTGTCTCAAAGCTCACTGAACCCTGTCCTCTTGGGTTTTTATGGAAGCTTCATGACATCAGCATTTCCTCCCCAAGGGTATATAAGATGGGACCCTCCATGAGAGAGTCTTGAGACCCACAATAAAAAAGGCAGGGGAACATTAAGCATAGAAGGAGGGCAGGAGAAAGTCACAGGCCTGCCTCTGAGGCCTAACACTTTCAACATTATAATGAAAATCTGGAATAAAGGCTATGGGAGTTAAAGCCAGGAACCACGGACGAAGACCAATATATATCATAGCACCACAATAAAATAACAGGCATACTTGTGAGTCATTTCTGGGTTCTCTATTCTGTTCTGTCACTCTGTATCTATTCTTTTGCCCATACCACACTGTCTTGACTAGCTATGTGGTTGGCCTTCAGTCAGGTAATGGAATTCTTTCCACTTGATTCTTTTTCAGATGTTTTAGCTATTTTGGAGCTTTGCCTTCCATGTAAGTTTTATAATGAGTTTATATCTACAAAAATCCTTGCTGGGATCTTGATAGGAATTGTATTAATCTATAGAACAATTTGGAGAGAATAACGTCTTTACTGAGTCTTAGTATATTGCTAAGAACATACTAAATATATTGCTATTTGTTTAGGGTTTTTTCTCTTTCTTTTCTTTTCTTTCTTTTTTTTTTCTTGTCGGGTGTCACGCTGTTTGCCCAGGCTGGAGTGCAGTGGTGTCATCATAGCACACTGCAGCCTCGAACTTCTGGACTCAAGCAATTCTTTCACCCCATCCTCTTTTTTTTTTTTTTAAGACAGAATTTCCCATCCTCTTGAGTACCTGGACTACACAAGTACATGCCATCAAACTCGGTGTTTTATTATTTTTAGTGACATGGTCTTGTTGCCCAGGCTGGTCTCAAGCTCCTCATCTCAAACTCCTGGCCTCAAGTGATCTTCCTGCCTCAGTCTCTTGTATTTGTTTAGATTTCTAATTTCTTTCATCAGTCTTTTGGAATTTTTAGCATACAGAGTCTACACGTATTTTGCTTAGTATATACTTAAAGTATTTAATTTTCTATGGAGCAGTTGTAAATGGTATGGTTTAAAATTTCAGTTTCTACATGTTTATTGTTAATACAGAGAACAGTAAATGATGGTTAGGCACAGTGGCTCATGCCTTTAATTCCAGCACTTTAGGAGGCCAGGGTGGGAGGATCACTTGAATTTAGGAGTTCAAGACCAGCCTGGGCAAGATAGCAAGGCTCTACATCACTACACACACAAAAACAAAGCAAAAAACTGGCCAGGCTTTGTGGTATGCACCTATAATCCCAGTTATTTGGGAGGTGGAGGGCAGGAGGATTCCTTGAGCCTAGGAGTTCAAGGCTATAGTGAGGTATGACTGCACCACTGTACTCCAGCCTGGGCAACAGAGTGATACCCTGTGCCTCTAGAAAAATAGAAATGTGATTGATATTTGAGTGTTGATCTTGAATACTTGCTGAACTCATTATTTCTAGAAATTTGTTTTCTAGATCCTCAGTAACATTTTAAGATTTGTTTTGAAGTGTTTTATCTTTTTTCTATTCTAATATATCCTTCTTCCACAATGACCAAATATTGTGGGGTTTTAGGATGAAGGCTGTTGAAATACATATATCAATTTTATGCCCAATAACATTGATGATTTTTCTTATTCATAAAATTTTCTTTAGTTGATTCTCCTGGGTTTTATAGATAAAAGAGTCATATAATCTGCAACTAGTTATAGTTTACCTTTTTCTTTCCCATTTTTATACTCATTTTTTTCTTATTTAATTATCTAAGACTTTCAGGATAGAGTTAAATAATGCTGGTGATAAATAATATTATCCTTATTTCTGGCTTTCGACTATTAGACTTGTTTGCTTTTTTTTTCCTCAAGGCACTGCCAATAAAGTAAAATACATAGTAGGAATTAATTTTATTTCAGTAGGTAGAATGCAAGTAAAGTAAAATATATATAGTAAATTTCAGGTCTCTAGTGTGTTCTAGCATTGGGGTATTCTGCTTTGTTAAATATATGGGAACATGAAGGTTGACATAATGCTTTTACTTCAACAGTTCTATTGTTGAAGTCTATATTATAGGCCTTTCTTCTTCCTGTAGAGTGGTGAAGATTGGATTCCTTTGTAGATTTTGCAGCACTTTTTATTTTCTTTATTCTTATTTTATCATACTTTTCAATTTAGAAAACACTGATAGGAATATATATTGATCTCAAGACTTTTCTGGAAAGTTTATTTTATTTTAAGGATACACAATTCCTTAAAAAATTATAGGGGAAATCTTATTTCTTGTAATTTGATTTCTTTTTCTGAGATGAGTATTGTAAAACAATTCTAATTAATGGAACATTTCCGTTTTTTATTTTTTTGTTAAGAGACAGGGTCTTTGTTTCTCAGGCTGGAGTGTAGTAGGGCCAACAGAGCTCAGTGTAACCTCGAACTCGTGGGTTCAAGTGAGCCTCCCACCTCAGCCTCTTGAGTAGCTAGGACTACAGCCACCAGCCATGTGCCACCACATCCAGCTAATTAAAAAAAAAAAATATATATATATATATTTTTTTTTTTGGTAGAGGTGGGTCTTGCTTTATTGCCCAAGCTAGTTTCAGACTGCTGGGCTCAAGTGATCCTCCTGCCGCAGCTAGCCAAAGTACTGGGATTACAGGTGTGAGCCACTGTGCCTACCTGACCATGCGTTTATAGTCTCATAAATGAGCAACACTCCTCCATATATAGCTTCTGCTGTTGAGAAGTTTGGTGTGGTGACCCTCCCCTTCCAGCCCCCCCTTCCCTTCCCTCTCCTGCCCCCTCCTCCTCCCTCCCCCCTCCCTCCCCCTTCTTCCCCCTCCCCTCCTCTCCTACCTTTTCCTTTTCCTTTTCCTTTTCTTGTTCCGTGTATAGCTCCTGCTGATAGAGAAGTTTGGTGTGGTGGTATTTTTCTTTTCTTTTCCAAATGGAGTACAGTGGCGTAATCTTGGCTCATTGTAACCTCCACCTCCTGGGCTCAAGTTGATCCTCCCACCATGGGCTCTCTAAGTGCTGGGATTACAGGCATGGGCCACTGTGCCCGACATAGTGTAATGATACTTCAAGAACACTTTACAAAGCTTTATTCTACTTGTTACAGTTTGAACATCCAGATCCTGACTCTGTAGTTTTCTTGTGATGTAAGCCAACTAACTTTAGAGTTCAATTTCTTATCTTTTACTCATCTCAGTCTTAATTTTGTTGAGCAGTGGAAAGCACATGCACTCTATGAGGTTCAGAAATGTGGTGTAACATAGCTATTCCTCTTTTATCCTAATGACCTTGAATAAGTTATCCAATCTAATTATCAGTTTCTTCATCTGTTGTTGGAGGATAATAGTACCTCAGGGGGCTGTATTTAAAGATGGTATGAAGTACCACATTGTAAATTACCTGGTACAGAATTTACCTTTGTTGATTCTCAGTAAATGTTTGCTGCCTCTCTCCTGAAACAAAATGAAATGGTGTGTGTGAATAGCTTTGTGAACTTTAAATAATATAATTAAATAGAAGCCATTATTAGTATTGTTTCCTCTTTCAGAAATGGGCATAATTTATAATCTTAGTAGTATAATGTGCTTGGGTAGGTACACGCCCAGGTTGGTGATCCTTAGATTTTTGTTTGCTCTTGCCCTGCATACTTTGAAAACTCTTTGAGAAATCCTACAGCAAACTCACATGATTTATGAAACCAACAGTTGAGTATTCTTACTCTAATTCTAATTCTTTGACTAATTCTTAGTCTATGTATCCATATACATGAACACTAAATCCACCTATTATCTTCTTTGTGTGGTATCTAGGCTCTCCCACTTTACCCTATACTTCCTTTCCCCACTGAGAACTTGGAACCGCATGGAATTTATTAGCTAGCATATTATCTTTCCTGGTTTGGTATTTCTGGTTGGATTGGCTGTGATAATCCTTAATTGGATATTCAACAAATTTTCTAAAATAAGCTTGTGTACCATGAGTTAAGAGGTAGAGTGCCAAGGACTTGTAAAGCTTGAACTGCTAGGACTTACTTACTGTACTCCAGTGTAGAGAGAGATTAATGGTTTCTGAAAATGTTCTTGCCACTTAAGAACATTGAAATGTTATCAAATATTCATTAAACATTTGTATGCATAGCACTTTCTGGGAACCCAGATGGATGTAAAACGTGTACACTTCAGTCCTGAGTTTCTTCCTTCTAGGGTAGTCTAGTTAGAGTTCAGAATAACTCAAAAAAATTGAAATATAAGACATTAAGCCTTTTGAATACAAAATATTATTGATATGTGCTGTATAAATTTGAAGACTTTGTTTACTTTTTATACAGTATGGTGAATTTTGTTTTCCTTTACCTGTGTATTAGAAATAAAAATACTCTATAGGGTCATTGTGATGTTTAAATGAGATTGGGTATGTAAAGCCCACCTATAATATATAAACCTACATATATTCTTTCTAGTACAATTTTTTCTAATAATTCTTACAATCAGTATTTAGAATTCTAATTTCTAATTGTATATATTCTTTTTTTAAATTAAACATAATATGACATATGGTAAAAAAAAAAATGCAGGCAGAACAAAGTAAGTACTTTTTTCACTTCAAACCCTAGGTCTTCCCTGTGTTTTCCTGTACCAATAACATGGTTTTAAATATTTTTCATTAATTATTCTAGTAAATATGCACTTACATATAATTACATATTTTTATGACATGTAAGTGGGAACATAATATTCATGCCGTCTTGTACCTGTGCTTTTCATTTAAAAAGAGATTTTTGGTTATCTTCCCTGTCAAAAATGTAGCTTTTAAATACATTATTTTTTCATTATTATTGATTGCTGAGGATTCTTCATTTGGATATATAATAATATAATTGATATCTTCCCCCAGCACTTCTTTAATGCATTTTTTCAAAACTTTTATCTTCTTAGGATCAACTCACTCTCCTGAAAGTCATTCTCCCAAGAAGGAGGTACAGAAAGACAGAGCTGTTTGTAAGAAAGGCTTGGGTATCCCATGAACGAGCCAACAGAAAACCGATTGGGGTGCAGCAGGACTCCAGAGCCAGATATAAGGCTCAGAAAAGGGCACCAACTTGATGGTACAAGGAGAGGTGATAATGACAGCCACCAAGGATATTTGGAGCCCATGTTAGAGGCATCTGTTGTATCTTCCCATGATAAAAAAGTAAGTTGGAAGAATGGTAAACAAAGGAAAAAGTTGGCAGGGGGAAAATATTAAAAAAAAGTATGGGTTCATTGCTGAAGGCAGGATGGGGTAGTAAGAAGGAAACTTGTACATTTGTATTTTTTTTCTTCTGGATAACTTGAAGTCTCTTATTCTTTATTATTATTATTATTTTTTTGAGATGAAGTCTTTCTCTGCCACCCAGGCTAGAGTGCAGTGGTGTAATCTCTGCTCACTGCAACCTCCACCTCCTAAGTTTAAGTGATTCTTTTGCCTCAACCTCCCTAGTAGTTGGGACTACAGGTGTGTGCCACTACGCCTGGCTAATTTTTGTATTTTTAATAGAGGTGGGGTTTTGCTATGTGGTCAGGCTGGTCTTGAAACTCCTGACCTCAGGTGATCCACCTGCCTCGGCATCCCAAAGTGCTGGGATTACAGGCATAAGCCACTGTGCCCAGCCTCTTATTCTTAAATTAGTTTAGATATTATTTGATTTTATAGTGTCTTTCTGCTGACACTTAAAAGCATACTTGGCCGGGTGTGTTGACACATGCCTCTAATCCCAGCACTTTGGGAGGCCAAGGTGGGTGGATCGCCTGAGGTTGGGAGTTTGAGACCAGCCTGACCAACATGGAGAAAACCCATCTCTACTTAAAAAAAAAAAAAAAAAAATTAACCAGGCGTGGTGATACATGTCTGTAATCCCAACTACTCAAGAGGCTGAGGCAGGAGAATCGCTTGAATTCGGGAGATGGAGGTTTTGGTGAGCCAAGATTGTATCATTGCACTCCAGCCTGGGCAACAAGAAGCAAAACTCGATCTCAAAAAAAAAAAGCATACTTAACCTGCTTTATCTTGTTAAAGTGAGAGGACGTGTTCTATGGGTACCATACAATATTTCTAATTTAACCATACTTTAGTTATGACGTTATCTGTTATTTTTGGAGAAATTCTAATTGCATGTTGGAGCTACTTTTCCCGAAATTGGTTACCTCCAGTGTATACCTTGGGGGTCCGTAGAATTCTGAGAGCTGAAGACAGATTTTACTCTTTCATTTCCTAGAGAAAAGAGCAACCTTCAGCAAACTATACCTATAGAGCAAAAGTATCAGAAAGTCATTGTTACAGATGTTTTGCTATGTGCTTTGGAACGTCCAAATTATATAGCATGTGTTTAATGTTTTATTACTAGTACAGTGTTTCTCAAACTGTGGGTTGTGCCTTAATTAGTGGGTTTTGAAATTAATTGTAGTATTAAAAAGTGTTAAAAAATTAAAGATCAAAATAATAAAAACATTGAAGTGTGTATATAGTAATATACATTTAAATTATGTTCTAGCTTTATATAGTTATGTATATAAATATGAATAATAGATGGAATACATTTCTTACTATGGGTTGTGGTTAACATTTTGAAAGCCTCTACTTGAACCAGCAGCTTGGGGAAGAGTGTTTCCAGGTAGAGGAAATAAGCTAGTGCCAAGGTTCAAAGGTGGGAATATGCTTATCTTCATTGCCTTCCCCTCCTGACTCCCACCACTGCCTGCACCTTTTTGTATCATCTTTCTCTTCCTTTTGCTTTCATCTTCTACTTTTGAAAATTTTATTTATATATATTTTTTGAGACAGAGTCTTGGTCTGTTGCCCATGCTGGAGTGCAATGGCACCATCTCATCTCACTGCAAACTCTTCCTCCCGGGTTCAAGTGATTCTCCTGCTTGAGCCTCCTGAGTAGCTGGGATTACAAGCTACCCACCACGCCCAGCTAATTTTTGTATTTTCAGTAGAGATGGGGTTTCACGCTGTTGGCCAGGCTGATCTTGAACTCCTGACGTCAAGTGATCCGCTGCCTTGGCCTCCCATAGTGTTAGGATTACAAGTGTGAGCCACCACACCTGGCCTTTGTTTTTTTTTTAAAAGGACCAAAAGAAGGCCAGTGTAGTTAGAACATAAGGAACTAGAGAGAAGAGTGAAATGAGATGAGGTCAGTGGGCCAGTCCCAGAACAGATTACACAGGTCTATTAAAGGAAGTTAAATTTTATTTTAATAAAATTGCCTGGCAAGTGGGCAGCTTTTGGGGCGTTTAAACATGGAGAGATTTGTGTTTTTAAAAATGCCACTCTAGATGTGGAGTGGATTATTTGTAGACAGAACAGAAGAGGGACTCAGGTGTTAGAATATGGATGACAGATGATGTCACTTAAAACAGCGTGGTGGGAGCAGCAGAAATCAAGGGAAATGGTTGGATTCTGGGTATATTTTGGAGGGGAGTAGCTGTAGAGTGAGGAAAATAGAGGAATCAAGGCTTGATTCTCTGAGCTGAACTAAAATGGTCAAGCAAGAGGGAGGATCAGCTTTAAAGCAGGGAAATCAAGAGTGGTACCAGTTTTAGAAATGTGAGATTCGAGATTCTTATTAACTGTCTTAGAGAAGATATTGAGAAGCCAGTAACTGTACCACTATAAGATTTTTATATACCTTTTTTTTTTTTTTTTTTGGGAGACTGAGTTTCGTTCTTGTTACCCAGGCTGGAGTGTGCAATGGCTCAATCTCGGCTTACTGCAACACTCTGCCTCCTGGGTTCAAATGATTCTCCTGTCTGTGCCTCCTGAGTAGCTGGAATTACAGGCGTGTGCCACCATGTCTGGCTAATTTTGTATTTTTAGTAGAGATGAGGTTTCTCCATGTTGGTCAGGCTGGTCTTGAACTCCCGACCTCAGGTGATCTGCCTGCCTTGGCCTCCCAAAGTTCTGGGCTTACAGGCCTGTTTCTTAACTAGTTTTAAAACTGATACTGTTCTTCTGGAATCTAAGGAATTTTCAAGCTTGAAAGAATTTCAGTCTAGTCAGTGTGGGATTTCTAATGGCAATAAAATTCTGTTTATAATATTATTACATTTTAACTATGAGATGAATTTTTTTCTTTATCATGTCACAGTATTTTTAATTATGTGTCACCCGGGGACAGAGATCTGACATGTCACACCAGGACCATTTCACCCACTGCTCTGTTTGGCTGCCAGTCTTTTGTCTCTCTCTTTAGCAATGGTGAGGCGGACACCCTTTCCCGGGGAAGAGAAATTCATGGTTTATTGCCCCTGCCAATAAGAAAAATGTTGGAAAGTCGAGTGGCAAAGCTGTTGCCATTGGTGTCTTTCATGTGAACCACTTTGAAAGATTAGGGTTGATAATCACACCAATTCTTCCCAGGTTAGCACCTTGTCACCACACACAGGTTGCCAATGTCAAACTTGATGAAATCAGTAATTTTCCAAGTCTTTAAATCAGTCTGAATGGTATCATTCACCTTGATGAGGGGATCAGGGTAGTGGGTAGTGTGAGCATCATGAGTCACCAGATGAGGGATTCCTTTTGTGCCCACAAATATTTTTCTTACTTTGCACAACTTGTACTTGGCCTCCTCAGGTATAATACGACATACAACAAGTAACTCTTAGTGACATAGATCAGATGGAAATTCTCTCCGGTCTTGTAAATGCTGATGACATCCATGAATCCAGCAGGGTAGGTTATGTCAATTTGGACCTTGCCATTGATCTTAATGAACCACTGCATGCAAATCTTCTTTGCTTCATCTCCTGTCAGGCCATACTTAAGTCTGTTCCTTAGGAAAATGATGAAAGGGAGACATTCTTTCAACTTGGGGGTACCGGTGGATGGATGAGGAGTAAACACACCAGTCAGTTTATCCAGCATCAAATGCTTTGGAGCTGCTACCTGCTTCAGATGCTTCTTGGGACCACGAGTTATGGCTGTGTTAGGCAAGGAAAGCAAAATATGTTTTCAGAGACCAGAATTTGCCTACCCAATCCCTTTTGTATCAGATTTACATTAATTGATTTTTCTATTTGTTTTAATACTATGTATTTTTGTTTACTGTCTTCACTAGTTGGAGTGGTATCTTCTGTAGATAATATTTGTGTTTTAATTTCACTAATAAATAATTAGGTGAATGGGATTTTTCCCATCCTTGTGAATTAACTGTTTTATTATGCTGAAAGCCTCTATTTGATTTTCTTTTAATCTTGAGCCAATGCAAAAGTTAGCAGTATGAACAAAAGAACCATTTTCTTTTCATTTGTTTTAACAGATTTTTGTATGAGGAGGCAAGGAATGAAAGGATCCATAGATTGTGGAATGTTAGAGCTGGAAAAGCCCCTTCCTCAATTTACCAGGGAGGAAATTGTGTTTTTATTCTTTATGAAAATTTGTCTTGTGTGTGTTGTTTCTCTTTGGAGTTGAAGTTGTTTGCTGAAAAAGAGACTCTATATGCAGTACTGTTGCTTGCTGCGAATTTCAGGGTTAATGTATAGTACATATGGGAGCTAGAAAAAAGGGGGGATAGAGTTACAGAGAACTGCAGTTTTGAGACTGAAATTAAAGACAAAATATTAATATCTTCAAATGATTTGGGGAGTTCCATATGCCGACTTTTTGTTAGTGTTTGGAGAAAGGACTCATTTCTTAAAATTTTCAGTTTTGAAGTTGAAACATCTGAACTGTAGACTGTAGCCTTCTCAGTAATTCTAATAATACCTTAATTTGTATCACTTTCACAGACATTCTCATTTGCTTCTCAAAACTGTACTCTGAAATAGCAGATATAATTTCTTTTTGAAAGTGGATGAAAATAGGATTTAGAAAGGTTAGTATAGTAATTTGCCCAAGGTCACATGACTTAGCATGTGCTAAGTCTTCTGATTGCTCTTTCTGGTGAGCAAAGCTGCCTTTATGAGAATTGGCACCAGATTGACTTAATGTTTCTGAACTCAGTCCCTGAGTGTTTGTGTTGAGCCTAGAGGTTAGATTCAACAGTTGTTATTGTTTTTTGACAGAAGTTGTTGCATACCTCATTTTCTGTTAGGCCAGGGTAATGTTGCTTCTCAGATGCATTCTAACTTTGTAATTGTTGAAAACATGTGCTTTGAATGAAAAGACCCCCCAAACAGGCTTTGTGTGAGCAACATGGCTGTTTATTC